TTTAAAGAATATTATAAACTACATAATAAGAATTACAAAAAAATATATGCCTGAATAATTCAGTTGTACAGTACTAGTTTTTATGAAAATAGGTAAAAACTATATACAGTATTTTTCTTGTTAACATGAATATAGTTTTTTTAATTTGTCCTGATGTGTAAAAATATTAATAAATAATAAAATTCACAATATATTTTTTAGTTTTACAATGTCTCCTCCACTGGCCGTAAAGGTTCCTGACAAGGCCCCGAAAAGGCCCACGGACCACAAGTTGATAATCACAGTTGTAGCTTATTTCGTGGCTCTGGACACATTTTATGCATCAGGAGCAGAAATGGCTCTTTTGACACCTGACCTAGTTACTCATTACAACATTAACTATGTTTAAACTCATCATGAAAGAAGATGTTTATCCACTCTAAAAAATATGAAGTGTTGAATTTACTCAACAAAGTTTGGCTCCACTGAGCCTAGTTGAGTAAACTGAGCAAAGAATATAAATATAAATATATCGTTCAATTTACTCAACCTGGTTTAGTGGAGCCAGTTTGGTTCAGTAAATTCAACAGTTTATTTCTTAGAGAGTGTGTAAAATTACTTTTACTTTTCAGATTTTTGTGAACAGTTTTATGACTTTTACTTGAGTAGTTTTCTCATCAGTGAAATTTATTTTTACAAAGTCATTTTCTGTTCATGTAATTTTACTTTCTTAGTTATTTTTTTCAAGTACTTTATAAACCTCTGCAGACGAGTCACAGGAGTCTGCCGCGAGCGCTCCCACAGATCCTTTTAAAGACCCCCGCCCGCGATGACGGCCCGTCCCGATCGGGGGTTACGCAGCGGAGCACGACTTTCTGCAGCTGTGTGGTTCTGGGTTTGTATTCAGACCTGGTTCTGACCTGGTTCTGACCACCTGAGCTCAGCTGCAGCTGCTGCTGATCAGGAGCTGAGCCGGGACACGCCGCACCAGAACGGCACGGGGAAAACCAGTAAAACCATGACTTCAAAAAAAGGGCTGGTGAGGAGGAGCTCTGGAGCAGAAGTAAAGAGGGGGGAGGAGGGAGTGCATCGGGGTCAGGAGGTGGAGATGGTAAGGAGAGACGGGAGGAGGTGCTGGCTTTGTTTCTTTTTACTTTTCTAGGCAAAACTAATTCATGGATCATTTCTACCGTTACCTGACTGAGCAGAAAATATTCCAGATTAAAAATAGATTTAAATCCTCTGAAGCTGACAGAACAGATTGAAGTTTTTATTCTTAAAGCTCCTGCATGTCCTTCAAATACAAAGTGTCAAAGAAAGCATCTTTATATTTAAGAAATCTGGCATGATTTTCTTTTATCTTGGCTCAGCCGACGTGAAACAGGAAGTGACATCAAAGAGGAACTCTTTAAGAAAATGAACTTCCTGGTCTTTGTTTACTGAAACAGTGGCTGTGTCCAAATTCAGGGTCTGCGTCCCTCGAAGGACCCGGCCTACTAGGTGTTTACCGCGAAGACGGGTAAAAAATATAATATATAATGTGATAAATTTGTGATAAATTTATGATAAATTTATAATAAATTTATAATAAATTTGGTCGGTCTAGTCTTCTGCTTTATTCCCCATTTTTTCAGTGATTTTTGTTCAACCGTATCACAAAAACAGCTGATCAATATAAAATCTGTCAGGAATGTAGATGAGTCCGACCTACGCTGCACCAGCGGTTTTGAGATGGATCCCATTTTTGAGGAGGGGGCTCCATCTGAAAATGGGGTGTCTGGACTAGGGGTGTAAGAAAATATCGATACACTGAAATATTGCGATATTTCATTTCCCGATACTGTATCGATATTCTAAAGC